CTCGAGCCAGAGCTATGGGCGCCGAGTTCGCCACCCAATTTGTGTTAAAACGGAAGCAGGGCTCGTGGTTCGTTAACTGTAGACCACACGGACGCGCGGCCGGCGGCTGAGAAGGCCACGCAGCCCCTCTTCCTGGTCAGTCACTGACGGGAGCACTGGCCGTCGGCGTGTAGACCCCAAGATGGCGCTGTTCGCGCCTCCCGTCCACCACTACCGATCAGGTGGCCGGCCTGGGTGCCCCCCCCGGCGGGTGGGAAAGGGCGCAAAGCTCCGTTTCATTGCCTACCCCTGTAGTTTTGACATGGTGTCTCTGGGACTCTGATATTCTTAGTCTCCTAACATCGAAGACGTGAACATGTCCGTGCGGCACGCCCCCAAAGCGGAGTTCCAGTTGGGGCGCGCGGGGGGGGGGGGGGGGGATCTAGGGCGGCGCGGCCGCGGCGGCCGCCTCAGCACCTCTTTCGCGCGCAAACGTCTGCGCGACGAGCAGCGGCAGCAGCAGAGTCGCGTCGGCGCAAACCTTGACAGGGGTCGCCTCTGGCCGCACCTGGCGCGCGAGGGCGAGGGCGAGGGCGTCGAGGTGAGGCGGCGGTGCGCTCTCCGCCACTGCGCGCGGTGCGTGTGCGCGTGCGCCTTGCCCCACGAGACCGCCTCGTCGGGCTTGGCGCCCGAGTCGGAGCCGTCGAACTCCTGCCCTGTGTTGACGAAGACGGCGTAGTCAGCGCCGTTGCGCATCAGGTTGGCGTTACAGATGTGGTGCTTGACAAGGCCGCCGCCGCAGATGAGCATCCCTGCTCGCAGCGGCGACACGTGTCACGTGGGCGATCTCGAGCAATCTCGGGCGATCTCGGATAATCTCGGGTGATCTCGAGTAATCTCGGGTGATCTGGGCGCAGCGCCTCCTCGCCGCCGCCGAGCGCGCCACACAGCTGTGAGCCGCGGGGTGTGGTACTGTGGTGCTACTGTGCGCCGCGGGCCCCTCTATGTTTGCCATGGTGCCGCTATGCGTTGCTGGCGCCCTCTGCGCCTCCTAGACTGCCGCCCGTGTACCCGCCGACGATACAAGCCGACCCCGGAGCGCCCCGTCTCGGTCTCGCCATCGCGGGCTCGGTAGTGGGAGAGCTCGCCCTAGGCCTCGGCATGGCTTGCTAGCCCTAGGCCTCGGCATGGCTTGCTAGCCCTATGTTGCCATGGTGCCGACCAGCCGCGGCGGAGGGGCGTGCGGGGCTTCTCCGCGAGGCGCAAGGCCGAGCTCGTGCGCGCTCTTGCGGGGTAGCGTGCACGCGAGGGTCTCTGGTGTCCGGGGGCACGGAGGGGCCGACGACGCTATGCGTTGCTGGCGCGCCCGTGCGGCGCGCGTCGACCGCCATCGAGTTGATCGCGCGGATGTCTTGCACGAGGTCGACGACGAGGCCCGGCCGCTTGTACGAGTGGAAGAAGAGCATGTCGCCGATCGAGCCGTCGGTGATCGCCGGGCAAAAGATCGGGATGCGGTTGCGGTTCGCCCAGTAGCAGATGGAGGAAGCGTCGTCGATTCTCTCGCCCATTCGCCAGATCATGCGGCTCGGCGAGGTGGCGCCGCCGCTCGCCTCCTGCTCGTCCATCAGCGTGTCGAGCAGGGGCGTCAGCCTGGCGTCGTGTGTGCACCAAGTCAGGGTGGTGCGAGGGTGTGGTAAAGTGCAGTGCGCAGAGCGGTGGTAAAGTGCAGTGCATACCAACCAGCGCGCCAATGCAAGGGCTAGAATGCGATGGAAGAAAGTGCGATTCTCCCCGAGGGGGGTCGGGAGACAGGGGTGCACGTGACCCGCATCTACCACCACCCACCAGTCCTCAAACAAGCAGTAGTTGCGGTTGGGCACCAGCAGGTTTCCGATCCGGTTGATTCCCTTCTGCCGCAGCTCGGCGCCCTTGAGCGCGAAGCCCTCCACGCCGCGCTGCGAGCCCAGGTAGTGCGGCGCGAGGCACTTCATCAGGTCCTCCTCCACGCCGCCTGCCGTCGTCACCAGGCACGAGACTAGCTTGTGTTGCAGCAAGTACCGGATCGACTCTCGCGTGCCCGCAGAGATGAGGTTGGAGGTGCAGCCGAGGAAGATGGTGGTCCGCACCTTGGCCCGCTCGGCCGGGTCGCGGATCTCCGAGTCCTCCTCCGAGCCGGCGACGATCCCCTCGGGCGGCGGAGGCGCCTCCTCGTCACTTAGGCGCCACGCCAGCATCCTCCGGACCTCCTCGACGGCGAGCCCAAAGTTGGTCGCCTGTGGAGCGGCGGCGGCCACAGCAGTCACAGCGGTGGCAGCGGCGGCGGCAGCTGCGAAACGCGTGAAATCAGAGAGTGTCGGCAGCGGGGGCGGCAGCAGCGGCGCTTGGCGGCGCTGCCTGGAAGCCGGTGGTAACATACGACTCGAGGAGTGCGGCGAGGTCGACGCCAGCGTCAAAGTCGTAGCCGCGGACCTCGGCCGAGCCCGCAGGCATCTCCTCGGACGCCTGGAGCACCGCCGCGGCGGCAATGTTGGGTACGCTCTGCTGGCTGGTCATTTTACAGTCGTACTCACGAGCGTGCGGAGCCCATGCGAGTTTGCAGGGTCTGCAAGAACGATAAAGAATTTAGACAAAACAACTCTCTCTCACAGCAGACCCAACCTTACAATAAGTGAAAAATAACAGAACGCCGCCATTTTTAGCGAGATCCGGGACACCACCCTCATCGCCCACCACTCACGCCTCCCTCCTGCGATACATTGAGACCGCACGCCCCGCGACTGTCTCCCACGCTCGCAGGCGGGCCTTCCGCTGTGCCATGCCATGCGTGTGATCATTCGTGGGGGCAGCGGTGCGCGTGCGACTGAGGATTCGGCCTCACACTCCAGCACCCGGCCTTACAGCCGCACGCCGCACGGCTGCCGTACTCGAGCCTCCCGGCGGATTGGGACGATCCTTGGCGGTGCGGGAAGTGGCAAAATTGGTCCGGCGTCAGTGAACAGGCGCTTGGCGCAAAACAACGTTTCACACCAACGGTGCACGTGGAGAATCGGGGCTTCGATCCCCGTACCTCCCGCATGCTAAGCGGGCGATCTGCCAATTGATCTAATTCCCCGTATTACCTCCGGTGAGATTCGAACTCACAATCTCCCGATCCGTAGTCGGGCGCCTTGTCCGTTGGGCCACGGAGGCTGTGGACATGCAGCACTCAGCCTTCCCTCCCCCTCCCGGATGGAAGTACTGCCTGGGCTCGACCGAATTAATAGTAACTTCGTTGTTCGAATGGGAAGCGGTGACCCTCGGTGATGTGGCCGCATGTTGAGGGACGCCTCCTTTCAGCAACCTATAGCGCCCGCCGGTTTCCATTGTTGACGGAGCCTCCGAGCGCCCACGCCCGGCCGCGGCGGCGGCGGCGCGCGCGCCACAGCTAGCCCCTCACGCGTCCACTGAGCCGGTAGAGCTCGCGCTGCGCTGCTCCACACGTGTTGTACGCGCGGTGCAGTTTGTTCGCTGCGAGCTCCCACCGCTTGCGTTCTTCGTGCCAACCTGCGTTCTTGGGACAGCAGCTGTGGGACAGTCCGCCGCCAACGCCGATGTCGGAAAAGGGAGCCATTGCCGCCACGCCACCCGGGCTCAAGGTCGTATACGCCACGACTTGCACAGGTTTCATGGGCTGCTTGGTGGCAACCACAGTGCTCCTCGCGACACGCGATTGCTCCATGCACTGCGTGGTCGACCCGTGCCAATTTGAAGGCAGCATGGCGTACTTCCCGCACAACATCTCGCGCGAGCTGCTGGACATCATTCGCATCGACAGGGACATCATGCATCCGAACGGTTGCAACGAGTGCCCCGTGGCCGGCTGGGAGCCTGTGTGGATCGCGCCGGGCGACGCGTGCAAGCTGGAGGCGCTAACCACGCTTGCGAAGCCCTCAGCTCGGCGAGGACTTGCTCGTCAGTCATTTTGGTCGGCGGCGGTGTGAAGGCGCTGGTTCCGGTGGCCTCAGCGCTCACGATCTCAATCTGCTTGCTCAGCGGCAATGCTTCAAGGAGCTGCTTCGCCTTTCGCATGAGGGCCGTTGTTGGTGGACCCCCCAAGAAGCCCATGCGAGTCGATGACGGATTCGGCGTTGGGTACGGCGCTGCCGCAGCCCCAACACACAGAAGCAGGGCACCGTTGTATGCCCTCATGGCGTTGGCCAGTGGCGGGGGCCAAGCTGACGCCGGACCTACGGCGGGCGGGGCCCGCCGGGGCCACAGGAGAGGTGAGAAATCATTTACATTTGTACGTACTTTTAGCTTACTGGGAGAAAAGAGAGAGGGGGTTGTGTTCTCTAGGCCCCTAGGGGCCCTACGCGCGGCGTGAGAGCTCGGAAGCGAGCTTAGCACGGCGATCGAGGATGGCACGGTTCACCCCCTTCATGACATCATGAGTGTTAGAGTTGTTTGGTATTGCTAAAAATCTCTCCCGAAGCGATGGAGATGCGTTCCGCGTGGTGTGACACAAATGAGAGGCGGGAGTGGGGAGGGTACGCGGTGCGGTCAACGCCCGAGCGTTGAGCCTTGCGCGCAAGGCGGTTGATCTTTGCAACTGCAGGCGGCGAGAAGCCGCCGCCGAATGTCTCGTGGAGAAGCAGGTTGAACTTGTTTCGTTTGCCGAAGCTCTCATTTGTAGGGAGTCAGACTACTACAAACCGGTCACGGTCCCGTCCAGTTTGGTCCTTTGGCCGGCCCTGCGCCGCTCGGCACCGCACGGGGGTGCCGTTAAGCGACCCTACGCGCTACGGATTTGTTGCTTTTTGGCCAAAAAGCCCAATTGTGGACTTTAGTCTTTACTCTTTAGAGTTTAAGATAATTTAAGTCTCTTTTCACGTACGCCCTAAAGCCAAGTGAAGTGTGCGCGCTCTACTCGCCTCACCTTCGTTAGTGCTTAGTAAGTGCTCTCTCCAGGCCTGCAGCGTGCAGGCACCAGGCTCTCGGCCAGCCGCAAAATCTCTCCTTAGGACCTGCAACTCCTTTTACTCTCACACAACATGCGAAGAATTTTACCACGGTGAACAGAATTTCTACACTAACCCAGCGCCCTGGCCACTGCCAGGACGCGTGAGTCAGCCGGTTGTAGCATGCCGCCTGCGCGAGGTAACGTAGGCCAAAGCAGGTGGCCGTGTCACCCGGGTATCGCCTCGTGCGCATCTCACATCGCAGACTGGCCCGCGAGGCTGATCCAGTTGCTATCACTGCACTCGCGCGGGCTCAGCAGAGCGCAATGAGCGCGTTGAGGTGCGCCCGCAGGTTCATGGCCGCCGGCTGGCTCATGTCGCGCGGCACGCCGATGCGGTCGCGCAGGTAGATGAGGCACGCCGAGAGGGCCCGCCCGCCGTCGGCGCCCTTGACAGCCGCCAGGTCGGCCTCGGCCGCGGCCGCCGTCTCCTCGGCGCCGCTGATGAGCGCGGCGGCCACGTGGCGAAGGCACACGTCCACCGCGGCGACGGCCTGCTCGTTGGGCGTGGCGTACGGATCGGCGAGCGGCGCCTGTGGGCGCGGACAGTGGCGACAGTAGGAGAGGCGACGGATCGGCGACAGTAGGAGAGGCGAGGCGAGGCGAGGCAGGCGAGGCGAGGCAAGGCGAGGCAAGGCGAGGAGAGGAGAGGCAATGCGAGGCGAGGCGAGGCGAAGTGTGAGACGTGTCGGCCGTGTAGAGAGCAGTCTCCCTGCGCGGCACCTGGAAGCGCTTCCGGCCGGGCGCGCCGGTACCGCGCGCCGCAAAGCGCACGACGGCGGCGTGGTTGGCAACGAGCTCAAAGGCGGCCTGCAGAGAGGCCTCCAACAGGTCACGGACGGGCCCTGCACTTGCCAGCCCGGCGAGAGCTCGCCGGGCGGCCTCGTGCCGCGCCGCGGCGTCGCCCAACGCCGCCTGCAGCGGCGCCAGCGGCTCGAACGCCGACCCTTGCAAGTCGAGCGGCAGCGACCAGCTGCCGCCGCGGCCGTCAATGGCGGCAGCGGCCTCTCGCGCCTACGTGATGACACGCCAACATCAGGGCGTGAATGCGGCATCGTGCAGCGTACTCAGAGAGCACCGCGTGAATACACGGGCTACGAGTACAGTGGAGACTGTCCTCAGAGCACCGGGCGTGAATACGAGGGGCGACGAATGCAGCGAGTACCGCAGAATACGGCCGAAGACGGCGGAGTGCGTGTCCTCTCGAGCGCTGGTTGGACGACAGGAATGCGCAGTCCGCTTCTAGGCTCGTGAGGGGCGGTGCGGTGGATTGCCTGCAGGTACCGCTTGAGGGAGATAGGGGGAGATAGGGGGGAGATAGGGGGAGATGTGGCCTCGTCGACGGAGAAGCCCGGGCCGTACTGCGGCGGGATGTCCATCACGTGCGTGTAGTAGTCGCTCTTGGTCGCTAGGTAAGCGGGCCGCTCCTCAAAGGCGGCGAGCCACGCCTCGAGGTTCGAGAAGCGGCCGCTGCCGCGTATTTGGATCCCCTTCCAGTAGAGGGCCGACGCGAGCATCCGCTCGACATGCGACACGTACTGCAGGTCAACCAGCGTGGGGTGGTCGGCAGAGTCGAGGAACCATGGGCCGGTCGACTCGCCGAGCGCTTCGTCGACGCGCCGGAGCGTCGCCATGAAGGCGCGCTCGTTGCGGTCCATCAGGCCCTTGCCCGGCTGGAAGGTGAGGCTGCACCACGCGCCAAACAGCTCGCGTTCGAGGCCGAGAAGCTTCGAGGCGCGGTCGCGCTCGGGGCCGGGCGGCGGGACCATCCTGTTCACAGCCAGAGGTGTGAAGAGACGCTGTGCACAGGTACGGCTACAGCCACCAGCTGCGCCGCTCGCCTGTTCACAGCTGGAGGTGTGAAGAGACGCTGTGCACAGACACGAGCCCGTCCGACCCCTCCAGCACCTCGGCGTCCCTTCACCGCTGAATGTCTGGTCCAGCGCCTGCATGATCGGCAGGCTGTCCGTCATGAAGTTGCCGTCGATCTCGATCGCCGGCAGGAGGCCGTTGGGCACCTTGTCGAGGAACCAGCGCGGCTTGTCGCCGTAGCTCCGCATGTTGATCTTGTCGAGCCTGTAAGGGATCCGCTTCTCCTCCAGCAGCAGCCACACCTTCTGGCAGTACGGGCACCACGCGGCAGTGTCGCGGAACAGCGTCACGCGCACCTCGCTCTCCGACTTGGCTCCGAAGAGTCGCAAGCGGGCGTCGGTGTGAGGCGGGCCGAGCCCCTTTGCCTGCAGCGCCCGCTCCTCTCCCAGCATTTCTCCAGCCGGGGTCGCAGCGACCGCGGCCTTCAAGTCCGACCAAGAGGGGGCGGAGTCGGCTGGCAGCGTGACGGCTGCGCCGCTGGCGCCGCTGGCAGCCTTCCCGCCGAAGAGATCAGAGAGGCCCATTGCAGCTCGCCCCGAGCGGAGCGCAGGAGGCCGAAGGACACCAGGAGGCCCACAGATGATCGCGGCGAGCATTCCTGTCTTGCAAAAGAAATCCCTGGAAATATTATAGGGGTGACACGCAGCCGAAGGTCCATCCTGCTCGCCGAGTCGACGCTGGGGCCTGACGCGCGTGCGCGAGATGGCGCGGCCGCGCGCTTGCGCGCGGCCGGTGAGTGTGCGCTTGCGCCGCAATCCTGGCTGAGCGGGGCGTACCTGCGGCGCTTATGGGGGTCGTCCCCCCCACGGCGTGCGAGCCGCCACGGTGTCGTGGCGCGCCGCGGGGTCAGGCTCTGGATCAAGGTTCAGAGCGCGAACACTGGGGGGTCCCTCTCGCATGGGGGGCTGAAGATACGTGCCACTCCTTCCGGGAGACCGGCCCTTGGATCCTCCTCACCGTTACTAGTGCTGGCTGCCCATTTGTGCAGCTAGGTGTCCCACTAGCCACCGCGGATGTCTGCCGTGCAAAGCCAGGGGGCTGCGAGGCCTGTTCTCGCGGATTAGGTAAGTAGTTAGCGTCGGCTGATGGGTGCTTGTCGCGCGTGCGCGTATGTGCCTGGGTCGGGGGTGGTTGGCATGGTCCAACGCCTCCGAGGCATGGCTGCAGGCGCAGTTCCCAGGGCGCCTGACATTCCACCGCGGCACTACGCAGGTGACGCTGCCTGCTTTCGCTAAGGACGTGCACGCAGGTCGCACGCCGCGCTGTGACCTTTGGTTTGTTGACGGCGGGCACGACGGCTCCACTCCCGCACATGACCTTTGCTTCGCCTACTCGACGGTGGCGCCCACCGGCAAACTCGTTGCTGACGATTGCACGACTCGGTTCCCAAAGGTCAAGGGCGCGTACAGCGCACTCGTGCAGCAGGGTCTCGTGTGGAATGTCACCGAGCGTAATGCCACCATGAGGCGGCCGGCGGGCCTCAAAGGGTGGTGCATCTCCTCCCCAGTGAGCATCTCCTCCCCAGTGAGCATCTCCTCCGTAGCATCCTCCTCAGTGAGCAGCCAAGCAGGACGTGGCAGCGGTTGTCGCAGCCCGCTGTGGATCCCCACTCAACATCCCCCACACACTCTCCACGCGACGCTACATGATCGCCCCGGCGGCACTCGACGAGCCCTTCCCCATCGACGGCATCGTCCATCATGATTATCGGGTAACGGCTCGCATCCCGCACGCCCGACGTCAGCTGTAACCGTAGTACTTCGGCCTGGAGGCCTTGGGTGCCTCTGGTTCGCGCTCGAATTCGGAATTTTCTGCATCCTGGATGCTCGTTTTTCAGCTCGCTGCACGGCATAGCAAATCTCACGAAGTGTAGCATGAGCCATGAGCATGACGCACGATAGGATGACATCCCGGGACAGCGGAGTGATTCTGAGGTCAGGTCAACCACCTTATCATGAAAAACAGAAGTTTTTGTATTTTGTTATTGCGCACATGCAGTGCTGCATTCTGCGGACGCCCTTGGCGAGCCACACCAACCTCACCAAGCACGCCTGGAGTTTGGCAGGCACCTGCGGGTCCGGTTGTGATCCTCACCGCCCTTCCGTTTGACACCCCATCCCCAAAGGCATGGGGTTCAACATCGAGTTACTCTGGATGTGTTCAACAAGTCGATGACGACGGATGCGTTTGTGAGCCAGGATATCCACGACATATTGCGCCACATTGAGTATGAATGCGTTAAATGACCCGCCCGTTAGGGAACCCTGCCGTGAGTGCCGGCATTATAATGGCCTCGAGAAACGTAGGTATGTGCTTCGGCACACCCCTGGGTGTTTCTCAACACCCCCCCCTGGCCGTTAAGATATTTATGTTCCTTCGTCCGAGCTTGAAATCTAGTCACCAATAAGGATTAAGGTCCTCACCCCGTAGGGAACGCGAACGGACGTACGAAACGGGCGCGTCACTAAAAGTTCGGCTTCGGGAGTGGGAGACCACTTCCTAGCGGTAGTTTTCAACGAGGAATTGCATGTGACATCCGTTTTTGCTCATTTTGACGCCCTGGTACCGTACTGACCGAATGCGGTCACAGCAAAAAAAAACGGGCCCTAGCTGAACACGGCTACATGTACAGTCGCGCACCGCACGGGCCACGGCTCACGGGGTTAGGACGTTAAAAAGTTAACCTGCGTCGCGAGACACCACGCAAGGGGGCACCAACGCGCAGCCCACACGCACACGGAGGGGAAAAATCTTTGCCGACGGGGTCTATACAGAGTATCCAGACGCGGTCAAAGGATATCCACCTCGAGAACCTCGAGAGAGTATCCAGACCAGAGCTTGGCAACCTTAGTGGCCGCAGGCCACACGCCCGTAGGGCGTGAACTAGTCGCGCGCGTAAGCGCGCGAAGAAAATTTTCAGAGATAAGTACGTACTTGCCCTGGGGAAGGCCTTGTTTTCACGTCCTTAGCGAGTGATGCAATCACGTTCTTGTTTTGCCCAAAACAAGACCGTACTCGCACGTTCTTATTGGCTGTGGCAAAGACACGCTCCGCCTCCTTCGCCTGCACGCGTACTTTCCGCCCGCCGATGCAGCGGCGCCCGCGGCCGCCGGCGCGGGCGAGGCGGCAGACGGCTCTGACCAGCGGACAGCGGCACTACCCGCGGGCGCGCCGGCGCCGCCGCAGGCGGCTGCGTCCGGCCCCGAGGTGGCAATGCCGTCGTACCAGCCGTGGAAGCAGTCCCGGCCGGAGTGGAAAGGCTGCACTGCAGAGCAGTGGGCCGCCTCCCGCTGCAAGACCGACGACTACATCGCACCCACGATGCCCAAGGGTTCTGCGCCCGGCAAGATGTGGTCCTTTGGCGTCTGCCAAAAGGGGGCGGCTGTTGGTACGAAGCAGTGGCGCTGCCTTTGCCCGACGGCTGGACCACGCGGAACGGTGGTCCCGTGCGGCGAGCTCTTGACCTTCCCCAACAACGGCAACATTTGGAGCTCGTGCGCAAAACCCCCTGCCAGCCGACGGCCCCACACCCCCATTTCCAGATTGCCTGTTTGAGATGTCCCCCAACTCCTCTTACCTCGTGCGGTCTCGTAGGCACTTCAAGAAGAAGCACTTCAAGATATGGTCGGATGAGGTCTGAAGCGCTGCGGCGGCGGCGGCGGGTGGTTGTGTGTGGGTGGGGGGGGGGGGGCGCTCTCGAGGTCGGCGTTGGGAGGGTGGGGTGGGTGCGCCGTGGGTGCGCTGTTTGTGTACATCTTAACAAGTGCTCCGAGCGCTTAAATATCATCAGGCGGCCATGATCGAGGACCGCCAGTCGAAGACGCTGCTGACTGACGAGACCGTGCAGCGGCTGCGGAGAACGCGCCGCTGGTGAACGGCCAGGGATACGTTTGGGCCGAGGGCTACGGCGGCCGCCCCGGCTGGGTTCTCTGCGTAGATTAGGGCCAGGATAGGGCCAGGAGCCGCCGACGTCCGGCGCGAGGACCGGCTCTTGCGCACAGAAGCGAGCGGAGCGAGCCGAAGAGAAAATTTGAGGAGTAAGGTCGTACTTGCATGTATGTACGTCCCTGTTTTGACAGTACGTACGTAGTGTCGAAGTACGTCCGTGGTTGAGCTGAGGCGCACGTACGCGAGGGGCGCTGGCGTGTCGTCAGCAAGGGCGTGTGGGCTGGGGGCATTTCCGCCCACGTTCTTGCGATACGTACTTGATTTCACGGTCGTGAAAGCAAGGTTGCCAAGCTCTGATCCAGACGAGAAATCGCCGACATTTCGCGGCACAAGGTGGAGGGCGAGAGCGACCATGTAAGAATATGCGCGCTGCTCTCAGCTCCCTCGCCCGCTCGGGCCAGCGCCTCTCAGCCGCCACGCCAGCGCTGCGCGGCTTCACACGCACCGGCTTCACCGTCTACACGCGCACCGGGGACAAGGGCAAGTCGTCCCTCTTCAACGGCGAGCGGCGGCGCAAGGTGCCTCACCGCGCCCGCACAGCGCCGCGCACAGCGCGCTCGCAGCGCCCGCTCGCCGCTCGCAGCCCCGAGGAGGAAGCGCTGCGGCTTCACAACAACTAGCGACCATCCACCGTGCTCGGGTGAGCGCCACGCTCACCGCTGTCGCGCCAGGACGATGTGGTCTTTGATGCGCTCGGCGCGGTCGACGAACTGAGCGCGGCCATCGGCCTCGCGCGTGCGCACTGCGAGGAGGGTGCGGCGGGATGCGCCAAGGAGGAGGCCGTGGAGGCGAGCGTGGCGCCCGCTCCCGGCCCGGCTGGCCTGCGGTGGCTGCTGCCTCAGCTCGAGGGCGCACAGCGGCTGCTGCTCGACGTGGGCTCTGCGATTGCGACGCCGCAGACCTCGTCGTCGGAGAAGCACCTGCAGCGCGTCGGGATCGACGGCGCCGCCGAGGCGAGCGTGCTCGAGGCGTGCCGCGCCGCTCTCCGACTCCGCTCCCTGCTGTCTTCTCCTCCGCACTTTCCACCACACCCTCCACCAACCGCTCACACCGCACGTTGCCACTGTGTGTCGCACTCCCGCCCCCGCCACAGCCTCCGCCGCCGCACACCTCCACACCTTGGCGCCAGGCGCGCATCGACACGATGGATGCGCAGCTTCCTCCCCTCACCGTCTTCATTCTGCCGGGCGGCGGCGCGCCGGCGGCCGCCCTCCACCTGTCTCGCGCCGTCTGCCGCCGCTCGGAGCGCTGCGTGGTGCCGCTGGTTGAGGCAGGGGATTGCCCGGCCGAGGTTGGTGTCTACCTCAACCGCCTCTCCGACTACTTCTTCGTAGCCGCGCGGTACGCAGCGGCGAGCGCAGGCGCGCACTCCCCTCGCGCCACGCCCTGCTGACCTCCGCGCACCAACACCCACCCTCTCGAGTCCCCCGCCGCCGAAGCGTCT